TACTGAAAATAGGCGCAAATGAACCACGATACAAATTTGATGATCCAAACCCATTCATATCAGAAGAAGAGGAGGGAGAAATTGCTAGCGTTGCTTATAGATACCGCAAATGGGATCTTGGAGGAGGAATTGTGAGTATTATTTTCTCCTTAACATACTCAATTCTACTTTTAACTTACATTTAAGAACTTTTGATCTATTTGACATATCACGTTTTTTAGACATTGGTTGCTCGTTGTGAACACGATGCCGTAGTCCAATCTCCTAATGGTGAACTCCAATTCCTTACCATAAAGGCACTAAACGAATGGGATTCTAAACTGGCCAACGGAGTTGAATGGCGCCAAAAACTGGATACCCAACGAGGTGCCGTTCTAGCTAATGAACTCCGCAATAACGCTTGCAAACTGGCGAAATGGACTGTCCAGGCACTTCTGGCTGGAAGTGATCAAATTAAATTCGGTTATGTATCTCGTGCTCACGTCAGAGATAACAGCAAACATGTTATTCTAGGAACGCAACAATATAAACCACACGAGTTCGCTACACAGATTAATTTGAACATGGATAACGCTTGGGGTATTTTGAGGTATGTTAAATTTTTATTTTCTCTCATCAGATAAGCACCATAAACTCTTCTTCTTCTTCATGTGCCTTGTCCGTTCCAAAAGTTGGCAGTCAACATGGCTGTTCTGACTTTGTTTACGGTAGATCTGAATAGTTCAGCAGATGACAATCCGAACCATTGCCGCAAGTTTTGGAGCCACGAATGTCTTCTCCTCCCTGGACCCCTTCTGCTGTTTATTTTCCCTTGAATGATCAGCTGTAGTACTCTATATTTATTATGTCTCATAACGTGACCCAAGTATTCCAACTTTCTTTTCTTTATACTTATTCCTACCTCTCTCTCTTTACCTATCCGGCGTAGTACCTCTTCGTTGGTCACGTACTCAGTCCAGGATATACGTAATATACGTCGGTAAGCCCACATTTCGAAGGCCTCTACTTTTTTCATCAATGTTGCGGTCATTGTCCACGCCCCCATTCCATATAACAAAACCGGGAATACATAACATTTCAGAAGTCGAATTTTGAGAGGTAGGGTGAGGCTTTTAGAGGTGAAAATTTGCTTCATGCTAGTGAACGATGCTCTTGCCTTTTCTACTCTTATACATATTTCCTTCGCTTGATCCCAATTTGAGTTAACTGTTGTTCCCAAGTAGATGTACGAATCCACGTGTTCAATTCTTTCATTGTCTAAGATCAGTTGTTGTGGTGGTTGTTGGGTTTTGCTTACTAACATCCATTTGGTTTTGCAATGCTACTTGCTAGAATCACAGTGTCATCAGCATACCATATGTTATTAATTATTTCTCCATTTATCTTTATGCCTTCTGTGCTTTCCTCCAGCGCTGTCTTAAATACTTCTTCTGAGTATATATTAAAGAAAATTGGAGACAAGATACAGCCCTGTCGTACCCCTTTCTTGATCTTAATTTTATCGGTCAATGTAGATCCTACTTTCACTTTAGCTGTTTGACCCCAATAGAGACTCGCTATTGTTCGAATGTCTCTGTAGTCGACTCCGATCTTATGGAGAACTTCAATTATCTTTTCGTGCTTTACATTATCGAATGCTTTTGCATAGTCTATAAAGCATATGTACACGTCTTTGTTCATATCTCTGTAGCGCTGGATGAGTACCTGTAGACTAAAAAGTGCTTCTCTTGTCCCAAGAGAATTCCGAAACCCAAACTGCGAATCTCCAATGTTATCCTCGCATTTTTTGCTTATTCTCTTGTAAATAACCTTGGTGTATGCCTTCGAAATGTGGTTAATTAGACTTATCATCCGATGTTGATCACTCTATCCATAAACTCTAGGCCTATAAAATATAGAAAAATAAAACTTTTTTCCATTAAAACTTGTGGCATGTTTTTCACTGAAAATGTTATGTAGTGGAACAAACCATAATGAATTGTAATAAAAAATCCTTTTTTTGTTTTCGGTTTCCAGTACAAATTAATGATAATAACATTAATTTGCAATATATGTCGGTAAGAGACAAAAATCATTTTACCACTACTTTACAACTATATAATACAACGATTTTTTATTTACAATACAGTATCAAATCAAACTATTATGATCACTGCAAAAAACTTTGTATTTTGGTGTTAAATAAAGAATAAAATTGCACATAAATATATAATAATATGACTATAACATAAAAATAGATCAGGAACACGTTCTTTTACAAAATTTTGAAATATTTTGTCTATATCTTTGACCTTTAATTTATTTTTAATAATTCGTGTGACTTTCTTTCACTTCGGTGACAGTTTTGATCCTTCTTGGAGTGCTTTAAATGTTTTTCATACAGTCTTCTCTTATTTTATGAGGTGGCAATGAGTCTCTCAATTAACTGCTGCTTATTTGTGACAATTTTTTGGGCAATCGCGCTCTTCATGAGCTCCCATAGATTTTCGATCGGGTTAAGAGCATAGGCGTAAAATTTCGGGCCAATGCTTTTTAAATGCATTCATTTTCTTCGAATCCTTAGAAAACTAATAAATATTTTTGAAAAATTTAAACGCATAATGAAAGATTATATTATCACCAAGGGCCGAAAGTCCCTTAGATTTTTGATGAGACATTTTAAATTAAAAATCAAATTTAATTTTCTCTTCTTTTTCACCCATGTAACTTACTAAAATAAACATTATAGAAGTTTTCAGAAACTTTCAGGAAAAAAATTAATGCATTTAAAAAGTATTGGCCCGAAATTTTGCGCATATGCTTTTAAGATCTGGGGAGTTACCTGGTAACTTTAGTACTTTAATTTTCTTTTTTTCCCAGGTAAGATGCTACTGTTTTTGCCTTATGACACGGTGCTTAATCGTGCATAAAGGTAAAATCTTCCGATTCGCTAAACCAGTCTTTAATTTGTAGCATAAGCTTTTTCTCCAGAACTTCAATATACTGATGTTGTTTCATCATTCTTTTTACGATGTACAGCCTCCCTGTACCCTTGCTACTGATCACAGACGATACCATGATCTTGAGAGGATGTTTTGCTTGCTCCACTATGCAATCCTAATGATATTTATTATCCTCTCGTCCTCCGACGAAGGTCGACTTGTCCATGAGTGTGTCTACTGTAGACTCATAGAAGAAACAAACTTTTGAATAAATATGTGAATAAAAAAAATATAAGATATTATTTTAGAATAAAAACAGTGGTTGTCGAGATTTAAACTTTAGTAAGTGATGTAGTTCACCTTATTCCAATCCTCAGTTGTCTTGACAATTTGTTCTCAATTTTGGTGTTCTTTGGCCCATTGTAGTGTTATTCAAGATAGTCAACTTTGGTTTTTTGGCAGGGTGACATGATTTGAAACCTTGCTTAGCAATCCTTCTGTGGACTGTCATGTCAGAAACTGGCATCCCAGCTTCACGAACTGGCATCCCTTAAGGACTGTCCGTGGTTTATTTCTGTTGTTTGCGAAGATATCCTCATTATTCTCTCGTCTCTCGGCGTAGTGAAACGCTTTCGATTATATTTTGGACACGTTGATAAGTCATGGGTTTGTTGATATCAATTTTTTTTTATATTGCTCATTGTTGCTTGCGCTACTTAGCACTGCTGGGCTATCTGACGTTGTAAAAGCTTTGTATGCTATAACAGTGTCTTTATCTCTACTATTTTAGTTTCAGGGATGTCTTAAGCCTTACCCATTATGATTTTATTCTCAAAAATGGATATTTTGTGAAAATGTCTTCAAAATTAAAACTGAAAGTTTTTTTCACTCATTATCACCACTAATACAATAATAAAACACTATATAGATAAAATGATGTTAATCCTTTAAAAACAAAATAAAAATAGACAAATTCAATTCTAACCTCCAAGCGCAAATTCGCTACAATGTGTATATTTTGACGTAATTTGACACAAATAACAGTTCTAGATACAACGCCAAGAAAGTAAAGTTATTAGTAACAAAACATATTGGCACACCTTAATTATGTAGCATCATATGATTTTACTGCAAAAATTTCGAACAAATGAGGAAAACTTAAAATTTTGTGACATGTTTTAGGTGCATCGTGGATATTGTCATGAAGCAGAAAGATGGAAAATATTTGATCATGAAGGATCCAAATAAGCCCATGATCCGTCTCTATGATATTCCCGATAACACTTTTGAATCCGATGGGGAAACCGAATCTGACGACGACGTCCCAGAAAGCTCTACAGCGTTTCCGTTGTATTCGTACAGTTCCAGTTCCAAACGTTAGGAAAATTGCAGTCTTAGGTATTAATTCGATAAAAAGAGATAAACCAAACATATGAATCAAAGCATAAAAAACCAATTTGAGGAAATGTAGAGTGGTAGATATATAAATAACAACAACAATTACAAGTTTTATCTGTTTTTATGGAATTTCTGCTTTAGTATCTGTATTTGGTTATATTTGAATTTCTAATGAAAATGTAATAAAATATTAGGTACGCAATAGGCACATGTAGTAAATGTTACATGTGCTATTTGATAAATAAAAATTACATATACATTGATGTCTTGTAATATCAACCCTTAAATATCAGAATTACAGATAAAATAATATATAATTCATACTCGTGTAACATTCTGTTTATGTAAACATTCGGTAATTTAAATCGAGGTCATTCATATATAATATACTCTAATTAAAACAGCCAGTCAGCACTCTAGTAAAATTGCACGACTTACTTGTGGTGTAGGTCAGGGAATACACTTGACACGAATAGTAACAAGAGCGCTGAGTCTGCAAGGCCGAGGCTATTAAAAGCAACACCAATCATTCTCGGGAATCTTAATTATTATACCGACACTATGGCCAGCGTCAATTAAGTACTGATATATTTAAGTTTATAATAGTGAAATATTGTACAAAGCAGTGATTAATAAATGGGCAACTAGTTACAACAATATTATTTACTACCCAAGATAATATTTACCATATGGCGATCCTGAATGGGTAGAAACCAGGAGTCTTCGTTCCAGAAGTATAGAATGGGAGGAAAGTCATCCAAGGAAGACCTACAGGAGAATGGAGTTGTCAACAGCAACTTCATAGTAAAAAGTAAAGATGTCAGACCAGGCGAAGAAATAAAGGTACTCTTATACATCATTACCACGGTCCTGATACTAAAATTGGTATGGTCGTTATGGAAGGCGCATAGGAGAAATATGAAGCGGAGCATACACCGGGACATGGCAGCGAGATCGACAACAAATTTAGACGTTTAAGTGGTGAGTCTGCATATTATCTATTTTTTTTTGCACTTCCTCACACGTATATTAACATAGCAGTTACTTTGTTAAATATTAATTATTATTTTTATGACTTTTTAAAGATAATTTCACTTATATTTTAGTATGGATAATTTTTAATTTATTAATTTATTGAATTTATTTAAATTTATTGAATTTATTGAATTTTAATGGGTATTTGACGATATTATATTTTTTTTGCTACATTATTCTCGAATTTTATCGTACTACATAAGACTATCGGATTTGTGTTTTCGTTCTTAAATGCCTAGCAGTTGGGAAGATTTTGTCAAAATACTTGAAGCCATTACGCAGGATATTACTAAGCAGAGCAAAAGAGTGTTAAAAAAGGAGATACCTAAAAGCAAGGAGGTAAAAACTGAGATAACGACACAAATAATTGAAGCTTATAATAGATTGGTACACCTCATAACCAAAAATTGGGATGCACTAACTGATATCCAGAGAGAAACTTGTAAGAGATACTTCAACAAAAACCGAGACAAAGTCATACGATCATTCCAAGCTATAAATTCCAGAATATTAGTTCCTAATCTGATAAATCAACAGATTGATAAGAATATAGAAGAAGATCAAAGTGACACGGAACAAGAAGAAACCATGGCGCTTAGCATCAATGAATTTTTAAACATTGCAAGCAAAATCTTACCAAGTGAATTTGACGGAACCACAGGCAAACTACAATCCTTCGTGGACGCGCTCGAACTTTTACAGAAAATAGCAGTAGGACATGAGGAAACAGCGATAAGCCTCATAAAAACAAGGTTAACAAATAAAGCCAGAAACTTAATAACCACAGAAGACACTATTTTAGACATACAGGCAACACTGAAGAGAGAACTAAAAGGTGATACGCCGAAAACGGTGATAGCAAAACTAGACAAAAAGAAGCAAGGACATAAAGATGCAGCTGTGTACGCAGCCGAGGTTGAGGCATTAGCCGAACAATTAAAAGTGGCATACATAACAGAGGGAATGCCAGGAGATTTAGCTAAGAAATATACAACAGAGGCTGTAGTAGCTACGATGAAACGTAACGCCAGCACAGACAAAGCCAAGCTAATATTAGAGGCAGGCAATTTCACAACCCCACAAGAGGTGATGTCAAAATTCCTATCAATAGACACAACAGAAGACAATGTACATGGAAGAGTGTTAAATTATGAAACATACTATAACAAAAGAGGGAAATTCCAGCACAAAAGAGGATATCATAATGGATATAACCAGTGGAGAAGACCAAATTTCTCGCAACAAAACAATGGAAAAAGAGACCACCGTCAACATGAGCAAAAAGGGTCCAGAAAATTTGATAACCAGGCACAGAGGGGAAATTCAAGAGGATTCAACAGACATATACGATTATTAGAACTAGAAGATAGTCCGCAGGAATCAGAAAACCCACAGTTGGGGTTTTGAACAAACAACTCTCATCTGAGACGGATGAACAGATGACAGAATCAGAATATTTTATCTACAATTTCGACTTAAACCTTACAAACTTCGTAAGAATAAAAACAGGAATCTTAGGACAAGTAAATACATTTATTATAGACACAGGAGCAGATATTTCAATACTTAAATGTACACAAGACTCTATGAGAGAATATGTAAAACCGAACTCAAAAGCAAGAATAAAAGGAGTAACTCGAGGAGAACTACAAACAATGGGAGAAATCGAAACTACGCTAGACGTACGTGGCAATCTTTTTGGACATACCTTTCAATTGGTAGAAAACAACTTTCCTATACCAACAGACGGAATAATTGGAAGAGATTTTATCACAAATTTTCAATGCATATTAGATTACGCAAATTTGAAAATACATATCAAAAATGATAGAAACTATTACATCAGTACAAATATTTTGGATACTGTAGACGATAGCACAATTATAATACCACCCAGATGTGAAGTTTACAGAACAGTTCAATATTTTCAAAAGTTAAAGGCAGATAGACTAGTGGAACAACAGGAGATACTACCAGGAATATTCATAGCGAGAGCGATAATATCAAGGAATAACCCATATATCAAAATTTTAAATACGACTTACGAAACTGCTACGATAGAGACGGGTACAATCAAAACATCAGACATGAAATTGTTTAAAGTATACAGATTAATCAACGACAGCAAGGACAGGAAGAAAGAACTACGGGAAACATTAAAGCTAGATATACCGGAATACACTCGAGATAAATTAGTATCGTTATGCGAAGATTTTGCAGATATATTTGCATTAAGACATGATATGCTAACATGCAACAACTTTTATGAACAAAAATTGAGAGTAAAAGAACACACACCAGTTTACATAAAGAATTATAGGACACCACATTCGCAGACAGAAGAATTGAATAGACAAGTACAACAATTAATAGACCAAGGAATTGTCGAGCCATCGACATCAGAATACAACAGTCCAGTCGTACTAGTACCGAAAAAAGCTATAGATGGAAACAAAGCATGGAGACTATGTATAGATTTCAGACAGCTAAACAAGAAACTAGTCACAGATAAATTTCCGTTACCAAGAATAGACTCAATATTAGACCAACTAGGTAGAGCAAAATGGTTCTCAGTAATAGACTTAATGTCAGGATTTCATCAGATACCACTAGAACAGTCATCAAGGAAATACACATCTTTTAGCACGGAAAAAGGAGCATTTCAATTTACCAGATTACCTTTTGGACTAAATATAAGCCCAAATAGCTTTTCGAGAATGATGTCAATAGCATTTACAGGTTTAACACCGGAGAAAGCATTTCTGTATATGGACGACATAGTAGTAATAGGAATAACAGAAAAGCATCATTTAGACAACTTAAAAAAGACATTTGAGATATGTCGGAAATTTAATTTGAAGCTAAACCCAGCAAAATGTCAATTTTTTAGAAAAGAAGTTACATATTTGGGACATGATCTGTCGCAGGAAGGAGTATCGCCGGATAAAGCGAAATATTCGACAATAGAGAACTACCCGACACCGAAGAATGCGGAAGAAGCCAAAAGATTCATAGCATTTTGTAATTACTATAGACGTTTTATTCCGAATTTTGCAGAGATATGCATACCTATAAACAGATTGTCGAGAAAAGGAGTAGAATTTTTTTGGTCGCAAGATTAAGGCTGTTTTCGCAGTTATAGCATACTGCGATTTGAAGTGGGCGTATCACTTACTTTTCTAATATGTACTTGCTTATGTCAGACCGTACGTGCCGTACCGAATTTAAAAGTTTGGATGTTTATTCAGTGGCGCCGGCCGACGGGTTGTTTAATGATAATAAATGCATTATTCTCCATTCAAATTAGTTTTGTCGGAATACTTTTTTTTTTATTAATTATCGTCGATAATGTTTTAAAAAGAATTAATCACATTTTTAATTTATATGTCTTAGCTAAACATAGTATTAAATAAAAATTTGTGAAACGTGACTGCAAAAAACACCATGGTGTTTATTTATAATAAATTTAAAAGAACATACGAATATTATTATCAAAAAAATTACAATTTGTTGTCACAAACAAATAAACAATTTCGCAGTTATAGCTTGAAAATTATTTCAATAAATTATTTATTTGTTAGAGAAAACTGATATTAGCGTAGTAAAAATTAAACAAAAAATATTTTTATTTATCTATAAAAAATTGGTACCTGCGAAACCATCATAATAGTAAATGTATTTATTTGGCAAGTATTTCGAGGCGACGCACTGCGAGGAAAAAGTTCTCTGAATGGAATATACATTATTTTAATATATTTATAGGTTGCAGTTACATAAGAAAAGTATCCAATTGATGAATAAAATACAAATCGTGGATAGTTATTTCATCATCATCAGTGGCATTACAGCTCGTCATGAGCCAAAGGCTTCTTCAGAACAATCTTCCATTCGCCCCTGCCTCTGGCAACTTTCTCCATGCTTTAACTCCGATGGATTTTAGATCATCCT